TATCTGTTTGCCTGAAATTGCCTTCACCTGTCGTAGCATGTAAACACCACCACAAATGGCATTTACTAGAGCATTTCTTGTCTTGTTATTTTCCAATTCAAGACGCTCCCCTCACATAAAGAATTAGTAATCAGCACCAACTCATTCTTCCTTGCTTTTCTCTTGTTGTCATGCCAGGTAATAGGGAAATTTGCCAAAGGGATAGAATAAAAGATTCTGAATCCCATAGTACCAGTATGATCCTTTTAATGGTAGGCTGGGGTAACAGGAATAATCTCTATAGATTTGTGTTATATAGGCAATAAAACATATACCTTTGCAGCATGCCAGCATTTAACCAATCATAGGAACTATTTGTTGCCTCATATATTACAAAGCAATAGAGATTTAAGGGATAATGTTCACAGAAGCAGAGGATATGAAGCAATAAACAGCTTTGGAGGTTGGTTAAGTGCCAAGTGAAGCCAGGACTACAGCAGCATAAACATTATTTCTACTAGGAAAAGATAAGGAGGTACAAGAAGCTACCACCATAACTAGGGCTCCATTTCTATTTTTGGGTTTTGAAAATAAAAGGAGTCCTGTTGGTCTTTAAATTAGTTGTAGGCTTCATGTCTCTGAAAGATATGAAAGGATTTTCAACCTTTACCTAGATGTCCTCTGGGAGAAGATCTGAGAGTAGTGTTGTTAGCCCCTTAAGGTTATGACAGACAAAAAGAAAAAAACAAAGCCTTTTCCATTAAAAGGACAGAGCTGATACAGAGTAGAACCTTTTCTCAATCACTGATGATGGGATGATGCTAACTGTCCATAAATGTTATCTTCTCTGGGCAAATGTGTTCCTGACACAATGTGAAACAGAAACTGAAATGACCAGACTTTGCTCAAAGACTTGATGGTATTCAGAAAGTCCATTTATACTGCAAATCAGTACCAAGCCTGAGAGGAAAGTATAGGAGTATGGAATTGGTTGACACCTATTAATAAAAAGCAGGGAAACACCAACATAAAGGTAAGTTACCTAATTGCATACACATAACATACAAATAACATACAAATAACATCTCAAATTCAAGACTACTAATAGAGTATTCTTGTTTCCACATTTAATAAACCAGCTTTGCAATCCATTTTCAAATAAAAATAGCCCCCAAGAGTATTAAAAACCTACAAGACTAAGCCAGATATGTTGATGCATGCCTACAGTCCCAGTCACCCAGTAGGCTAAGGCAGGTGGGTCAATTGAGCCAAGGAGTCAAAAACAGGCTGGAGCTGGGCATGGTGGCACACAGGCATACTCCGAGCACTCAGGAGGCTGAGGCAGGATGACCACTGCAAATTAGAGGCAAGCCTAGGCTACAAAGTGAAACCTAGTCTGAACCAGCCTGAACTGCATAGTGAAACCCTGTCCAAAAAGACCAAAAAAATAAAAAATAAATAAAAAAGTCTGGATAACACAGTGAGACCTCCCACAAACAAGTAACTTAAAAGATGTATCAGATTTAGCACCAAACTATATTTCTATTATTTTAATGACATAGAAGTAAAGTCATTTTATAAGCACAATGTTTTTAAAAAGATATTATCTTAGAAAGATTTCAAAAACCATATATCACAATTCTACCAATCCTCTGCCAATAGAGTATCTGGGGCACTGTTACCTTAACAACACCAACCTATTCTCAGGAGGCCACTCTGTTAACAGCTCTTGCTACCACATTCCAGTGAGAATTTTTAGCAGGAGAAATGCTTTCCTATGTTCTCTTCATGAAGGTGATGAGGTGTCAAGAGAAACAAAGAATCTCAACAGGGGAATAGAAATTTAAAAACCTAAAAAAACCCCATCACCTGTCTTTTCAGATAAGAATGCAGACAACACATCCTTCACAGCAGCCATCTTTTTAAAAAAAAAAAAATTACACATATTTAGAACTCAGCTGTGTCACATCAGACTTACTGTTGGGAAGTAGATCATGAACAGCATCCAAAAATAACAGCTATTAAAGACCTAGCAACCAAAACATGTTTATGTATCCATTGAAAGCCTGGTGGTTTTGATTATGTAGTGCACAGCATAATCCACTAGTCTATTTTAGGTAAATTCTAATTTTGTGTTCCCTTAATATTAAAGTATAGGATGATTTATCATTAGGGATACATAGGGTAATGTCTGGACAGGGAGAAGAGAAATAATACAATATTCCTATAGTTTTGTTTGATTGCTTGCCTTCCAATAATCACTTGCTTTCACTCTTTCTTTACCTGATGGAAACCAATGCTTTTTTAAAGACTTCTCTAGTAGCAGATTCTAAACTATGTCTTCCAAAAATTATCATGGTCTTTATTACCCACACTGGGACTTACACATAGCCTTTTTTAGTATTCCCAGAGTAAGTAATTTGAGTCAATGCTAACTGGACTACAAATAACTTTAAAACTTTGATGTGGCTCCAGAATATAACCATTTTCAAGGGATACAGGGAAGTTGGATAACAGGCCAAGGGCAGTTAACTTAATCAAATTTATCTTCTCTGCCAGATTTTCAGTATTTCATATAACATAAAGTAGACACAGTACATCTTCCAAAGACTTTGTTCTAGAGCTATCTGCTATCAGATATTGAAAGAAACTTGGTAGGAGACTAAATATAATTTCAGAACTATAATCTCACCTGAACATAATTTTGACAGAAAAAAGAGGTAAGGGGATGAATCATGTTCTCTTCGAAGTCTTAACTTGTAGTTTTCTATCCTTTTCCCTATGACACAAGCATTGTGAATCCAAAAGAAAGTACTCATTTTCTCAAGTTCTGTACTCACCTCTGGGGGTGGGGAGGTTTTCAGAACCTAAACCAGAGAGTTCTAAAGAATTTTAACCAAAATATCAACACATAATTTAGAAATGAAAGGAAAAAAAAAAGGAAAAGGCCTGTGAAAAACAAAACCCAACAATATAAGGAAAAATAAAAATATAAGGAAAAATACATCCCTATCATTTTCCTACCTTTAGAGAAAAAAAAAGCATTTTTAAAAAGGCAAAACAGAAGCAAGGAATCATAAAATTTCACAATTTCGTGAAATCTCACAAATTTCAGTGACTACTACTCTTTTCTGACAAGACAAAGAGATGCTATTTATATATTTCTTTCTCAGAAAGCTTAAGAGATACTTTACTTGTGTATTCCTCACTTTTATCACCTTTTTTTGTTTCTTTGAAAAGTCTTGTGTTTGGGTGGTTTAAGCGTACAACATTTAAGAGGAATATAGAGATTGAGTAGCTTAAGTAATAAATGAAGAAATACATATAATAAGTATAGCAAGTATAAGAAGTATAAGAAGTAAGTAAGCATAGTAAGTATAAGAAGAAAACCTTTAACTGAAAAATAAAGATTTGTCAAGTAGATAAGTGAAGAGTACCAGGCATCAGCTATGGGAGTCCTGGTGAACAGCATTATCAAATGCACATATGAAAATCTAGAGAGATGATTTTTAGAAGCATACCTTAATAAAATTGTTTGAAAAGTGAGAGAAATTTACCCTATCTTCCCAATTGACCCCTATTAGAAAGGAAAAAGATAGGTAAAGAAAGAGAAGGGGAGAGAGGGAAGTAGAGTGAGCAAGACAGAGAGAAAGAACGAAAGAAAGAAAGAAAGAAAGAAAGAAAGGAAGGAAGAAAAGCAGTCAAAAACAGTTTAAAGTTCAAAACTTTGACAAGGACAGCATAGGGGCACACAGCTATAATCCCAGCATTTGGGAGGCTGAAGCAGGAAGATTGCTCTAAATTCGAGATCAGCCTGGGCTACAAAGTAAGTTCAATGCCAATCTGAACTACATAGTAAAACACTGTCTCAAAATGCAAAACACAAAACAAAACAGAATTAAGGAAATACAACCATAGGACACTCAAAACTGTAGAATACAATGGATATTTCAGTGTCTTGTCTGAAATATTCATCATTTATTGAAATTTAAAATCTTCTGTCCATTCCTTGTCACCATTCCCATCTTATCTACCTCTCAAACTCTGGTTCTTAGGATTCTCTAGAATTTAGCTCTTCTTTTTGTCTAAGTATTTACAATGTTTAATAGAACTAGTCTGCAATCTCACATACTACCAGTAAGTGTCACTGGACAGTCACATGACATATTTCTAACTGAACAGAAAGTCATCCTTCAGATAAATTCATTATAAAATGAATTAATGAAGGTAGATAAAAATTTTTTGTATTTTTTTTTTTTGTATTCTTTGTGGAACATTTGGAGAAGGTCTAGGAAAAAGAACTAATACTATAACCAAAAAAAGATAGCTTCAATAAAATTATTCTATTAAGAAAGTATGACCAAAAAATGTAACATACACACACACACACACACACACACACACACACACACACACACAGATATGCAAACAATTATGTGGCAGTTAACACAGAGAATAACACATTAATCATAGCATCAGACAGGAGAAATGTTTATGTAATGCTCAGATCTCAGGTTCTATGTTGGATTTGTAGATATGTGCCTGAGCTGTTAGCAATAATTCTCTGAACCAACAGTCAAAAGAAATACTTTTTTAAATTTAAAAAATCCAAATAGACTATAAAGCCAGGGGTCCACAATGAATGGGTACATTATCAACTGTCTTTCCAAATATAGTAAACAGATTTTTACATCCATGAAGATTGAGGAAAAGATTATTTCTCAACTTGCTTTTATTAGATGGATCGGTTTAGGAAGAGGAGAAAGCAACATGTATTCTTCAACACTGTGCAGGAAAACAAACACCAGTCAAATAACAATATGGAAGAGAGCAAGGTAGATTTCATTATGGTAGAGTGCCTAACACTTCCTCATAACTTGGATTTACACACAGCAAATCCTCTGATCTGATTACCTCCAGTGATCACGTAAAATACCGGCTTTAAACTCTTTGCCTTAGTGATAAAACAGCCACTTTGATTCACAACGAGACATTCACAATAAAGTATATTGTAAACATACCTGTCCACAGCCTGGGGCATTGCACACAAACGGTCTGTCGTCTCCCATATTTCATATAGCAGAGCAAAGCTGAGGAGGGGGAGGCAAGGGAAAAGTTATGTTAAATACGCTGAAGCAAAAAATGTGCTTCAAAAATATCAAGCCTAGAAACAGGTGTTCTGAGAATGCCATCTATCAAAGCTATAAACACAGGCTACTTTGAGGAGACTCATTAGACAGGTGTCATATGACCTATTGTTCCTCAACTGAAACTTTTAATTAGAAAAATTTAGACTTAAATAGTCAAGGAATTTAAAATCTTTGCCAGATTTTTCCTCTATTACAGTACGTAACATACTTCTCTAGTCAGCTGAATTACAACCAGTGCAGGTCGCTATGTCAATAAATTCACTGAATGCTTGATGCGGAAGCCATATTTTCTGAACTAGAGAAGACCAAAATTTGTCATTTAATTAATTAAGGGATTATAGGAGGGGTGCTCCATTTTACAGGGCCATAATCTGGCTCCCTAGTGTATAAACTATGATACTGTTGGCAAGGGTCATTTATCCCAGATTATTACCAAAGAAAACAAAGCACCCATCCTATTGGGCTACATGGGAAATGATTTTCATTAATAAAAAAATAAAAATAAAAACCTTCTCTCCCCACTGGGAGCCACCTTCTCTCCCCACCAATCCTCTCTGTGGCAAATGGAGAAATATCGGTGTCCCCCCCCCCATTCTATTTATGGCTGGGTTTTTAAAAGCAGCAATAAAACAAATGTCGACTCTTTGGGGGTTTACTGGGTGAATATGTTCCGGCTGTTTGTGCTGCTCTCGGCCAGAGTTCTTGGGCTGCTCTGTTGCAGCCAACAGATGTGTGCTGCTGCAGGGGATAAAAGAAATGGCACTAAAAGGCATCACCATCCATCCCTTCTATTTCTCTGAAGAATTTCATGGAATTTATACATTTTTTAAAATTATTCAAGCTAAACTCTTGAAATGTTGATGGAAATTCTTTGTCAAAGAACAGTAATTCTAATTTGAATGTGTTGGAAAATTTCTCATCTTCCAACTAGGAATAAAAATAGAAATGAAGAGGAATAAGGATTAGAAATGCAAATCACAGTAAAAATATTCCAAAAAGATAAACAGTATTTTAGGAGGGTGGAAAAGAAAACGGGTTAAGGGATAAAAAAGATCTTTAGTAAAATAAGCTCCTGAGAATATTTTCAAAAATCTGTCCATGAGAGAAAGGTATACCAAAGAATGTGAACAAGGAGAGCTAAGAAAGGAATTATTTTATTTAGAGTGCTAACCAAATTTCAAATTCATGCAGGAGATAAATCCAACTCTCTGGTGAGTCAGAGTCAGGCTTACATTAAAAGAAAAAGTTAATATTCTAGAATGAATGTAGTAATCAGAAAATCATGCTTAAAATGAAGAAAATAGGTAGGTAACATCTCTCTTACTCTCTGAGGAGTCACTCTGGGGTTAGAAAGCAGTATTTCTGGTTGTCTTATCAGTAATTCCACAACTAATCGGTGTTTAAAATAGTGGGGTGTACAATAAAATAGAAAAGACTTCTTGGTTCATCTTTCAATGTGATAGGAACGTGGTCTAACTATGAAGGAAACTAATGCTGTGGCACTGCTGTAATAGAAGAGACCCTGTATGTACATACGTGTACACAGATTTATATCACATTTAGCCAGGATAAATTGCTTCAATAAATTCTGTTCCTAGGAGAGGCCAGCTCAAGCTGATGATTGGGTACTAGGAAATGAGACCTTCATTTTTCTTCACACAGCCCCAAAGCAAGGGGCTTTTCTGGTTTGTTTGTTTTAAATACATGATGATTTTTTAGCACTTTCTAAAACCACAATATAGTATAAAAAATACAAATAAATAAAATGAAGACCAAGGCCATTAAGGCTGAAAACTCAGATCATTTTTGGAAAACAATTTATCTCTGGAAAAATTCCTAACTGTTGTGGTAGACATAATTCTGATTCTTAGTCCCAGAACTTGTTTTCCTAATATAATCACAAAATCAGAATTTTATTTCAAAAAGGTCCTTTAATGTATTCTCAGTCAGGAAGTAAACAACAAGGGCTAGGGTAGTAGATACAATGCAAATACCAGGCAGAATTCTTTACTTTTACCTAGGTTTTGTTATTTGGGACTATTTTCATTTTCCTGCTTATACACGGAGAAGAATAGATCTTGGAAGAGAAGGGGGACAATGCTGGCTTTGGCAATGATTAAATAAATTCTAAAATGGTTTCCCTCAAGCCACAAACTTGGCTTTACACAATCACACGATAATATATGGCTAGAATTTCCATCAACATTTCAAGAGTTTAGCTTGAATAATTTTAAAAAATGTATAAATTCTGTGAAATTCTTCAGAGAAATAGAAGGGATGGATGGTGATGCCTTTTAGTGCCGCACAATCACATATAATATATCCAAATTTTATTTAACGGCATATTTACTAGGATTTAGGGATGACAAATCAGGTCTTTTTGAAGAAAAAAAAATGACTTTGGGAGAAAAAGCATTAAAATCTAAAACAAGTAAGCATTTTCATTTCTCTTAAATGTTCAACTGACAGTCACTAACTAGGATTTCCTGCTTCCTTCCCAATTTGCTAGCCTTTGTTTTACCATTTTCACCAAAGGGAGATCACAATGGGAGGAAGAAGGCTTTCCTTCTTAAATACCAAGAGCTATTCTTAACTCATTCCCTCAATCTACTGCCCTTTGTTATTTACATCGTTTTTGCTTTAAAGAAAATTTAAATATTTAACAATTATAAGGATGCTCTGTTTCCCTATTTAAAAAATAGCCAGCTAGTATATATATATATTATATATATATATATAATATATATATATATATTAATTCTCAGCAAATGCTGGACCAAATGCCACATACAACTATTCTATCTGACACTCAAGTTATTAATTATCAGAGAGGTCAAACTGATGTACTCTCAAAAACAAAACACATTTCTGCAGGATAAACAGAATAGACAAAAAGTTAAATCTTGAATGATGACACCACCACTCACTAGAATGTAACTCACAGGTCATTTGTAACTCTACTGCTTGACAAGTAGATCATGTGTCTGGGATCACAGTGTGTCGTCTCCTCGATCTATTCTTCAGGATGAAACACAAGCATTTTATAAAACTAAACAATAAATGACAGGAGAGGGATACATACATTAAGAGGCATTGCCAAGGTAAGTAAGGATTTTACAACAGGAAAATAAAGGTACATTAAAAGGCTCTGTCAGAGAGGTCAGAGTTAGATGAGGAAAAGGTTTATGCTCTGAAAGGAACCAGAATGCATAAATGACAAAAATTAGGATTTACACAAAAGAAAAAGTCATCTGAATGCTAGGAGAAAAGTTAAGAAAATGCAATGTTTGGAGAATGATTTTTAACGACTGAGGTAATTTCAAAAAGTCTATGTTAAATAGTTGTATTAGAGCCAGAGGTAGATCCTAAAACTGGTCAATGTGCAAGTAAGAAAACAGATTCTCTCCCTCTTTCTCTGTAATACATTGATTTTTTTTTAATAAAGTAAAGATGAAATGTGTTACTGAAGGTTACAAAATTAATTCTCTGGACCAGATTATGATGTAATCACTTCTCTAGTAATCCACTGATGTTAATAAGATGACCCAACTCTAAGTAAGGAATTAGATCAGGTGTATTCAGGGTGGTATAGTCATAGAACCAACTCTTTTATTTTTATTTATTAATTTATTTTTACTTTAAGTAAGGAGTTAAAGTCATATACAGACAGTCATGGGTTCTGTTCTTAGGTTCCTGAGACTGTTTTTTTTTTGTTGTTGTTGTTTGTTTGTTTTTATCGGTACCAGGGATCGAACTCATGACTACCTGCTTGCAAGGCAGGTGCTTATGCCGCTGAGCTAAATCCCCAGCCCCTAATGACAAAAAGTAAATATTGCTAGGAACAAATAGTGGGAAAGACATATGCATTATAAATATCAAAGATTAACTGAAATCTAGAATGGGATTACACTTCCTATCATTCATTCATTCAGAAGACATTACAAAGGAACTATTAAGTGCCAGAAAAAGTGGACATAAAAATAAAAAGACAGGCTGGGGATTTAGTTCAGTGGTGTAAGTGCCTACCAGGCAAGCATTAGGTCATGAGTTCGTTCCTTGGTACCAATAAATAAATAAATAAATAAATAAAGACAATAGATTTTAACAAAAAACACCAAAAAATGTTTTACTCATTTGATATGAAAGAGGCCAAACTGGGTGTGGTGGTACACCTTTGTAATCCCAGCACTTGGGAGGTGGAAGCAGGAAGATCATTGTGAATTCCAGACCAGTCTGGATTACAAAAAGTGAGCTTAAGGGCAGCCTGAATTGCACGTGAGACCTTGTCTCAAAAAAAAAAAAAAGAAGGTAAGTGGTATGATAGAGGGCATAATTTAATAGTTCAGTTAGTCAGAGGTTGATCAGTATATATATTATTTAGATTCCTTGCTATCTCTCCTAGTATCTAGGGTCATTTATCAAATTTTTTTTGCTACCAATTCCAGAGTATTTTATCTATACAAGAGCACCAAAAAGAGAAGTTAACAGTATTGGTATAATATTTAATAGGAAGGCTGAAATTATTAATCACAATTATGTTTTCAATTATGCACATTTGGTCAATTTAAATTCATTAATTTAAATATTTTATTTAGAACCTATCATATGCTTTGGGACTAAGCAATTCAATAATAAACGAGACAATAAATAAACAAATGATAGACAAGTTTTCTGGCCTCTTAAAGTTTACTTACATTCTAAAGAGAAAATAAGCAAATAAACAAAACACATTTAGATAATAGCAAGATAACTGCTATCAAAGAAATAATATGTTAGTAACTAGAAAAGAGCCACTTTTTTTTTTTTGGAACCAGGGATCAAACTCACCAAGCTCCTGCTTTAGGCGCTTATGCTGCTGAGCTAAATCCTCGGCTGAAAAGAGTTACTTTTGTTTCATTTCATGACTAAAATATAAATGACTATATTAACTGTGATCAAAA